CTTACTTTACAAATTCTTGATGACATTGAGCTGTTCATCAATTTGTTTCTGAATCACTTCTAACTGGGACATCTTCTCCTTTGCTGTACGTCGGAGGCTGTTTGATTTGGATATACAAGTTAATCTGCCAGTTGACTCGGCTTCCTCTGCAAACTTGTCTGCTGATTCTTGAAGACTTTTGATATCTGCTTGCAGTCTAGACTTCTTAACTTTCAGTTCATCTATCTCATCAAGTAGTCCTTTTCTTTTTCTTTCCTTCTTTTCCTTTTCACGTCTCTGCTCATCAAGATACATATAGTATTTTTGCCTACCTGCTGAAGCAGCTAACATGAGCGACTTGTCGATAGTAATGTTCTGAATTCCTCCTACGTATTTAATATAATCATATATAGCCCTCAAAGATATTAGCGAGTGCCCTAGAAGATTGTCCTCTTCAACTTCATTGTTGACGGAGAATCCTCTTTCAATAGAGGCTTGTCCATGGGACAAGACAAGCAACATGCGGACCACCTTTAATAAAGATGAATAGCGAGACTCAGACAGAAATGTGCACATCAGAGAGTCCAGTCTGTCTTTCTTCAGATCAAATTCTCTCATCTCTGCGCTTCTTGATGCCTCATCACATGCTTCTGAGTATTCTCTTCGGATGTCATCACATGAATCCTCAAGTCTGTTTGCATCACTAAGGGAACTAAGCATCCTTTTCAGCTTTCTTTGTCTTTTGCCATGCTCTTTAGATTTAAGCATCCCATATTTCTCACAAGTGCATACTTAAGCGGACATCTGTCAATAAGCTTGCAGGTCATTGCAGCAAGAAACTGTTTTGCTTGGATGCGAAATTCCAGAATCCTTCGCTCACTGATGATGTTTTTTGCTTTCTTTTGATCCTTTAGCTTTTTCTCAGTGTAGAATCCAATAGCGACCTTGGTCAAAGGCAGCTGAATGGCCTCGCTGCTAATATCTACCTGCATTATCTTATAAGGAGAAGTAAGGATACTCCTGTCAAGTTTTAAGAATCGCTGCATAAGGGAAGCAAGCATTCTGGTTAGCTCTTCGGCTAAGAAGAGCAACATTGGCGCATCAGTTTGGTAGTCTGTTAGAAAGGGACTGACCAACTTTGCCACAGATATGGAAAAGGTCAGTCTTGCTGGAAAATCAGCCATCTTGGTACACTTCTGAACAGTTTCAAACGATTTGTTCTTTGGGTGAGAGATTTTCTTCTCTTCAGCTGCCTTAACATACATTCTCCCAGATGTTGATCGTTCTCTCTCTGCAACGGGAAGATCTTCCAGCCATCAAGTCTTCAAAATTTGAGTGGCATGGTATGATCTTCAGTTATCTTCTCATAATCATCTCTTCTGGCTGGGGCATCAGCAAACAAATAATACAAGGATGATAAGAAGCTCTTCACCTCCCACTCAGCAGCCTTGGCACCTGTTAGAAAAGCACCATTAACTATATGGAACCCGCATGAGCCCATGTTGAGTATGGAACGGTTCACTTCTGATTTATATTCTCTTGACAAATCATCATACATTTTCCAATTTACATTTGGACAATCCATACTAATTTGCAATAATTTTTCCAATCCTACTCTGTGAAGAACTTTATCCAGTTCTTCCTTGAGGTGAACAGCTGTACCATGTCCTATGAAGACTGATGTCAAGTAGTGAGTGTGAACTTCATTATGCTGCCACAGTCTTATGAGGAAGTCCATTTGCTTTTTCTGCAGTTTCTGATTGAGACTTTCATCAAATAGGATGGCATAATGGGAGGATTTCTTTATGCTGTCATATAGGAGATCTTGCACATGTGGCCCCAAACCAAACACAGTCATGTATCTGCATTTTGTCTCTGACAATTGGAACCCTTTTGCAATCGCTGAATCTGAGAACATTCTTTGAAAGAAGTCACTATTGTGCTGATTTTCCTCAATGACTTTCAGGCACCAGAGTATTTCTGCTTTCAATGTATCCTCTCTGGCAGCAACAGGAATGGGAGATGTCACTTTGGAGGTTGATGGAGCACAATTACTCAGCATTGCATCTGCAGACTGAGTGGTAGGACATTCTCCTTTTGGCTTCAAGAAGCTCTTTATTGTGAGAGTAGATGAGCCTTGAGGAAAAAAAAAATAACATAAATCAAAGCAGTAAATTTGCCGATATGTAACTGAAAAAAAAATCAAATGGGTACTATTGTAGTAATAAAATCCAATTTTGAGTTTTCTTAAGAATAAAAAATATCATAATTCTAGATTTTTTCTCTTTTATAGTCTATAGTGTATATTCTGAAATAGT